CTTCACCACATTTGCTGACGCATCCATTTTGTCTTCAGTGACAAAATGCCTGGGAGGTGAGTGTCAAAGAGTGCCAGGTTATCAGAACAAAGTGTTCTTGTGTTAAGGGAGGCCTTGAGCAGAGGTCCGATGCCTATCTGCTATCTTAATACTTAACAAATAAATGTATGTACATTAGCCTCTATCCCTTTCATTACAAAGCAATGTATTTACATATATACATGCTTATAACTATATCTCTGTAAATAGTTTTTTGCCTCCTATTTCTTTCCTCTATTTTCTTTCACCTTCCTCCTATCCCACTATCATGCTCACTCTCCTTTCAGCTCTCAGTAATTCCTCTTAGATACATTGAACTTGATTAAACCCCACCAGGTATTATATGCCCTCCTCGCCATCAATTTTAGATCTTTTATTGTTCCCTTATCCCTAAGTTTGTTGGCTCCCCACTCCCCCTTCCTGTCCCCTCATCTCCTATGTCCTCCCAAGAACCACCGGTCCTGTTATTTTCTCCTCGGAATTGTTCATCCTGCCTATCTTATATAGCTAAACATAGGGCAAAAGGAAAACAAAAACAACGAAATGAAACAAACAATACAAGAAAAAAAAAAACTCAATAGAAAGTTCTAGGTCTCACAGCTGATTTTGTTTTGTTTTTCAACTTGACTTTGGGGGAAAACCTCTCACCTTTGGTGGGAACAGACAGCCCACTCAAAATGTTCAACAGTGTTGACTTCCCAGCTCCACTGTGGCCAAGTATTGCAGTGATCTGTCCTTCATATATGTCAAATGTTAGATCTGGGATGGAGAGCAGGTGGACAGAAGAGAAGGAAGGGAGGGAGGAAGGAAGGAAGCAAGGAAGGAAAGGGCATAGGGAAGACGAGAAACAAAACAAAACAAAACAACTCTTAAAATCCCATTGTGGAGCCAGTGGATTGTCCTTTTAATGCTTCAAATGGTTATATTTTCCAAGCATGAATACACTGCCTTGTCAAACTTCAAATAAAGTGAACAAATGAATCTTTCAACATGTCCAGTTTTGGAGGTGCTTGGGCTTTACAGGGACAAGGCATGCACTGCACGACTAAGTTCATTGGCATTGCCAGGCATATGAGATTAGAACCAAGGGTAACAGATCCAATAGTAAGACAAGTGGTTAAAAATCCTTTGAGGAAAGACACTGTTTTTCCCCAAAGAAAATATATAATATCTGAAACAGTTTGGAACTATAAGGGATATTTTTTAGTTTCCAGAAAAAATAGACCATCTGTCAGGCTATCTCATTATTTCACAGCATCTCTTTCAAATACATACAACTTCCAAGTTACCCAGTGACATAATATAGTTGGAAGGAAAAATGTAATGTGTGCTTCAAATAACTAGCACGAAGCCTGAAATAACACCATTGTTTTCTTATCAAGTGCAAAACATGTTGAATTAAAATCAGGAAATTAGTATCTATCCATACTTTTTTTTTTTTACCTTTCAGAGCTTCTATGTTGTTAGGCTTTCCTTTATATTCTTTTGTAACGTTTCTGATTCTGTAGAAAGAAAAGAAAAGTTGCTCTAAGGTGACAGTTATCTTCAGTTTGTAATCCTACAGTTGGATGACAGAATTGATGTGCTTTAAGGGGTCTGATGCCACTGATCTGGGTATGGATCTACAAAGGACCATCTCGTCATCAAGAGCTAATCCACACAAGGCTCACAAGTTCATCAGGAACCACTACTGGGAGGAAGACAAGGCTTTTCTACTCCCTTAAAGAACTACAGTCTTGGAGACCCACAGAGGCAGTTCTACCCTGTCCTGTAGGGTCACAATGAGCCTGCAAGGACTCACTAGCAATGAGTTGATCACAGGTTGGAGGTTAAGCCTGACAGGTTGCGAAACATAAACAGAGAAAGTAACTATGGAGCCAATTATACATGGGAAATGAACTGCCTCTGAAAGGTCAGTAGACTGTTGTGATCAGAGACAGGTGACAGAGGAGCTGACATGACTTGGTCACTGAGGATGGACATGATTTGAATGTTCAGAGACCTTGAGAACCTTCTTCCTATTAACATGCAAGCTCCAAGCAAGCTCCCCACCATTACAAGGAAAGGCAGAATCACAAGAGGGGTGTTTGGTGTCAAACAGATTGAAGACATGCACGATGCTACACGCAGCATCTTCTTGAATCCTGCTAGTATCCACCTTCTTCACTTCCCCTCTCTCTTTCTAACCAGCAATGCACAGAGGAGGAACGAGAAGGGACAAAATGGTGAGGAAAGTGGGGGATACACTAAACGAGGCATGATTCAATCAGACCAGGCCAAAAAAGAAGAGAAACAGCAGATCTAGGCAAGGGTTTTGTTGAATTATTTGTGCTGTTCATGAAAGCTATGTTTTTGTTTAATGTTGGAGTTGTGAAGTGTGATGGGGTACATTCTGTCTCATAGGACCCCTTGTGTCACAGTAGAACTGCCCATAGGGTTATATTAGCTGTAATCCTTATGGAAGCAGAATTTTCTCTTATAGAGCCACTGGGTGAATCTAAACCCCCAACCTTTTGGTTAGCATCCCAGGGCTTAACTGTATGGCCTGAAGGCTCCTTTTTGTTGAATGTAACTGTCAACGATATAAATCAGTAAATGTGTGTGTGTGTGTGTGTGTGTGTGTGTTGGGGGTGGGGGAAAGTCCTTTAAATTTGTTGTAGGAAGTAGGGAGGACACATAGGGTGAGATGAAGTGGAGATGGTCTACAAAGACCAAAAGATAAATTCCCTATCAGTGATACCTGAGCGAGGTCCATTGCTAACCATCAGCACACCGGGGAGATATTATAGGTTTGCTTCCAGACCAAGGCAATAAAACAACTATCACACGAAGGCAAGTCACATGAATCTTTTGGTTTATGTCTAAAAGTTCTGTTTAGACTCTCCAGGAGTCTACTAAGTGTGCAACGGCATCATGACAAAGTTTGCGGAGGTGAGCACACACTGTTAGAAAAATGTCACCAATAGACATGTCCCATGCAGGGTCGCCACCAACCTCCAATTGTTCAAAGACGCAGTATCTGCAGGGCACAACACCAGAGTGAAGCACCACCAACGGAGGTGTGCCTGTATTACCTTCCTAGAATTGGGCTTGTTCTCCATTAGCAGCCTCTTTACCTGATGGCTTCTTTGCCTTGGAATTCCATACACACTGGTTCAAAGGAGTTGTTAGATGAGGGGTGGAAATCTAGTTCATCTTCAAAAGGCACATGAGCATCCTTTTGCTGCCGTGACCAAAACGAGGGCTTCAGGAAAAACAAGGGTGAGCGTTGATGTCCATATTCATCTGCAGGGCCAGGAGACAATTGGTTATTTGCCTCGATCACCACTCGAAGGGGTTGAGTCCGCAGCATAGCTAGGAGTCACTCAACGTGAACACATTGTCAATACAAGGTGCAGCGTGTATTTTGACAAACACAGTATCCCACAGGAAAAGAATCACCCAGATATTTCTATTGCTGGTTTCTATGCAAAGCAATGAAATGGTTAGCTTAAAAATTCAGGAATTCTCTCATTGTTGGCCCAGAGGGGTTTATCTATCCTGGATTCCCTGTGTTGCGGGCTCTTATCTGTAGCAGTGTGCAT